CCCCGGCAGGGCGGCCTGCGGCGCGCGCCGCTGAGCGGCGGCGTAAAGACCGCGACAGACCGCTATGACCTGCCGTCCCCAAACGTGGCAGTCAGGAACCTGGTCGAGCAGGCGCAGTTTGCCCACCTGTGCACCATCATGTAAGCGGACGCCTCGCGCCGCGACGGGGCCGCCGGCGCAAGCATGTTCTTGACGCGGGCGGCAGTGACGTTCAGAGACCGAGCGGATTGCTGCCATAGCAGGCTGTGGAGGCCGCTCGCTCGGACGGACAGGAGGAAGCCGGGCGCGGCTGCCGCCACACTGGCAGCGCCTGCCCGCTGCCCTTCGGGCTGGCCGTCCCTCTGCGTAGTCGAGGCGCCAGGGCCGGGCGCGGCCGCGCCCGCCGCCCCGCCGCCGCCCCATCATCATCATCTGATCCCCCCCTCGGCGCCCCTCCCCAGGTCCCACATGCACCACCGCCGCGCCGGCTACCCCTTCGGCACCCTAGTAGACTTCGCGACCGACGGCGCCGGCATGCCGATCTTCTGCCTCAGCCCGCTGGCCATCCACGCGCGCAACCTGATAGAGGACAGCCGCTGCAGCCTGGTGGTGCAGATGCCCGGCTGGACGGGGCTGGCCAACGCGCGGGTGACGATATTCGGGGACACGTACCGCCTCCCGCCGGAGATGCAGGTGGGAGGGCGCGCGGCGGGAGCCCGGCAGTGTGGGTGTGCAGAGGAGGGGGTTTGGGGGCGTGCGCGTGCATGCATGTGAGCGTCTGCGCATGTGTGAGGGCGTGTGTGATTTTTTGGGGGGTCGGAGCGCTTGGTAATTGCCAGGCTACACACCACTTGCTGCCCTGCTCGACCGCCTGCTGCTGCCGGCCCTTGCCCATGAGAGGACCTCCGCCGGGCAGCAGGCCGCACCCAGTGGCCCCGCCCATGCCAGCCCTGCACAATACTGTCAGCCACCCCCTGCCGGACGCGCCCTCACGCCCTCACCTCAACTGCCGACCCCAGCCCCGCCGCTCCACCCCTGAAAAATATCCCGCCTCGATGCACCCACCCCAGGCGGAGGCGCGGGAGATATTTCTGGCAAAGCAGGCGAACGAGCGCAAGGACAGATGGGTCCTCGGGTCATTCCTTTTCTTCAGGTGCGTATGTGTGTGTGTGTGTGTGTGTGTGTGTGTGTTTTGGGGGTGTGTTTATGGGGTGGGGGGGTTGGCAGGGTGCGTGTGTGTGTGTGTGGTGGTGGTGGGGGGGGTGGGCATAGAAAGAAATCCCTGTCCGCGGCCTCAACAGGGGCGGGG